TAAACTATTCCGCGTGACTGTGTCTCGGTAGCTTCGAGCCGCGATCCGCAAATGTCACAATCGAAGACTTTCCTTCTATATGTTCGGCCTGCCGCTTCTCGTGAGCTCGTTCTGACAGAATAATTCATTCCTCGTTAACCATTGCGAATTTTGCATAATGACGTCCAACTTTTCCATCAGTTTAGCCCTTTCCATCTGCACACGAGCGGATGTGCGAAACGTATCGGATAACCTGTACGTATCCCGTATCTAAAAAATACTGTTATACGAATATAATTGAAGTAAATGTTTATGTTAATGCCGCCCACAATATAAATACATAATTGAATCAAATTACTTCCGTTTTTCATCCAACGGTATTTTTATTTCGCATCGATACATATAAATTATACGTAATTATGTAGCCGTAACATATAATTACGAGCCACGCAAAGACAAAATTCACCTATAAATCACACATAATTATATATAATTAAAATCTCTTATTTCTCATCATTATATTATAATTATAATTTTATCTAACTATACATGAACATTTTTCTCAGGTGAGCTCCTTTCTCATGCGCGCGCACGCGCGCGGAATGCGGCGGCGAGGCTCGCGCGCCGGTCAAACACACGCGGCCGCGTGCATTAGCGCAGAAAGTTATGCGCGCGCGAAGCGCATCCCGAAAATAGCGCACGCCCGACAGGTGGGTGGTGGCGGGGGCTACGTCATCGCCGTCGCTTTTTCTGGGGATTTCGCGTCCGTATATACGAGTGACTCAGTTCGGGCGCGCGTCCGCGCGCGTGAATCGCGCCGATAGGAATAGAAACGCCCGCGCGGCCCGTTCATTCTTCGTCGTCCACCCTCGCAATCCGATCGCGAGGGATCAATGAGCAAGGTCGTCGCGTTTCGCCCCTCAACTTTGTCGAATCGCCCGGGACGAGCGGTAACCTCCGCCGCGAGCGCATTACAACCGTCTTTCTTCTTCGTAAGCCCCCATCTATCTATATGCCTCGTTTATCTTTGTAACACTATAAGAAGAGAAAGGAGAAGATGCAGGAGAAGAAAAAAAAAGAAGAAAAAGAGGTACAAGCGTACCTTGCGTCACCCATGAAACGATTAAGATTGCTACTTCGTTCTCTGGGGCCGGGGAGATTCTTTCGATTAACCAATTACTGTCCGTCTTAATAAGACAGATAAGGCGAGATAACACGCGAGGTGTATGATTAAAGTGTCACGCTGACCCGAAATATTCGGCGATATTCGGCGGCTGACATTGCGGCGTATCCTGCGCGAATTCTGCACGCGTACTTCGCTCGTTCCCCGTCAAGCGAGCGTACGAGTTTAAATGAGAGCGTGATTTACGGGCTACTTAATATCAGCGGAACATTGTTAACGCTCGCGAGCGGCCCGTGAAGAAGCGACGTTGCTGAAATCCGAACGTACTTGTATCCTTCGTAGACGGGGGAGGGAGAGGGGTTAAATTTTCGTCGGATGAACGATTGTTCTCGTTATATAGCACTTGTTGCTACTCGTTCTTCGGGACGAGATAGAGGCGAGTTGAAACGAAGCTGTAACGTGATAAAAGCAATCGTGCCGATGTGATTATCGAAGTACGAAATTGCCATCGTGAACGACACACGCCGTCGCCGTCGAGATCACCATCGCGTCTGAGGACGACGCAGATAAAAAAAAATTGTATAGTCCACCACGGGGGGAGGGGGATCAGAAGCCGCCCTGGATGGAACATCTTACACGATATATTATCGTATTCATTAAAGACAATCGCTTCTCGAGTCTCTGTGTCCATTACACGAAGACATCTCCGCGTACTAAAGAAGCGCCTGAAAGAAGATGCAAATCGCAAAGGCTTACAATTTTTTTCAGTAAATAATAAACTTATATAAATACTAATATATACGTAATATTGAAAAAAATATATAAATATATAAAAATATTTCCTTTAATAAATATTTACTGCGTGTACGTAAATTTATAATTTACTGAAAAAAGTACTTTCCTATAATTTTATGTAACTATACGGGTCCTTTAATATCGCCACTGAAAATTCACGGACCAACTACTTTAATTCACAGAGTTCATATCAGGTAAATCGTGACGACAAGCCGAGTCAAGAGAGCGTCGGAAAATCATGTCGACATAGGACTCCCCCCCCCCCCCC